GTATAAATTTTATTATTTTTATTCTATTAGTTTTGTCTCTTTTCTTAAATGTTCGCTTCTTATCTTTTGATTTTTTCCTATTTTCATTATAGTTCTCTCCATCGCCTTCTGACAGGTATCCAATTTTGTTTTTATATTGTCGTTATATGTCCCTGCTTGGCGGCTGCCGATAAATACAATAAAATGTAGGTATTATTTTCACAACGCCAATCTTTAAAATAATCTACAAATTAATTCAAATATATTATTGAAACACTCTTCGATATATAACATTCTGGAACACTCTTATGATATTATAATGAAGTCACTTTCCAATAAGAGAAATAAAACAGGGCAAGAAAAGCAGCCATTGTCGAGTTTCTTGCCGGTTCTTCTCCGTACAAGGTCTTCCGCCGTAGAGTTGCGAACCGTTGGCGTAGTTTTCGACTTTCACTGGCGCTATATATACAGAATAAACGATGTTTGTTTTGATTTAATATGACCGTCTATCATGTACCACTTTATGTCTCTTGAAAATAAGAATAATGGTTAAACAGCACCATGAATAGTGCTGGCTGGAGCCTGCGATCTTATTGGTCAATAAAACATTTATGAACCAATGATAGCGAGCCGCAAAATATCCTGCAATCAAACAGCATAACTGAGCCATAATAGAATATTACCTATACACAGTTTTTTATTTATAATTTCTCTATAAATATTATATATAATAGTTTAATATTATCATTATTATATTTGATAAATTTTGCATTCACAATGCTATACTGTAAAATAATCTTAATTAAAATGTTTAAAGAAATCTTCTTTGGCCCTGGCACTCTGAGATGGGACTAAGATTATCATATTTATTGGGTGTATGTAAAAATAGTGCAACTTTTGTTCCTTGCTCTTAAGACAATATTGAAACTTCAATTTTCTTGCGTCATTTTGTGCTGTGGTAGGTCTATCAGTGAGCTTTAAGAATTGATTAAAGATTCGTAATTTAGTTGTTTACATCGTGTACAAAAATTAGGCTAACAATGTCGGTAAGTAAAGAACATTTTCGCCATTGTCTTCTTTACGAATATCAACAAGGAAAAAAGGCAAAAGATGCTTTTAAATTATTGACTAACGTTTTTGGCGAAGATACAGTTACTTATTCAACAATTACTAGGTGGTATAAACGTTTCAAAGGCGGCAATTACACTTTGGCGGATTATGAACGTGAAGGTCGTCCAGAAAAGTGTTTAAATGATAATTTGCAAATGTTGCTTGATGAAAACCCATGTCGAACTCAAGAAGAATTAGCAGAAGTGCTCGAAGTTGATCAGGCAACAATTTCCAGACATTTAAAAGTGATGGGAAAAATTGCAAAGGCAGGACGGTGGGTTCCTCATGAACTAAGTGAAACAAACAAAAACGAGCGCGTTGATACTTGCCATTCTTTACTCCTTCGACATAGAAAAAAATCATTTCTTTGGAAAATTATAACAGGGGATGAAAAATGGATTTTTTTGATAATCCAAAACGTAAAAAATCGTACGTTGATCCTGGGAAACCCTCCACATCAATTCCTAAACAAAAAATTCATACAGATAAATGATGCTCTGTGTGGGGTGGAATTAGAAAGGAATCTTATATTATGAGCTGTTACAACCGAAGCAAACAGTTACGGCGGAAATGTATTGTCGACAATTGAACCGTTTGAGTGAAGTATTGGGTAAAAAGTACCCGTTTATTGGCCACGGACAACGTCCAGTGAAGTTGTTGCATGACAACGCCAGACCACACATTGCAAAATCTGTCCGTGTCACTTTAATGTCTCTAGGTTGGGAAGTTTTAAGACATCCAGCGTACTCTCCCGACTTCGCGCCTACAGACTACCATCTTTTTAGATCGATGAATAACGCGCTACAAGGTGTACGCTTTCGATCATTTGAAGAAGTGCAGAAATGGGTAGACAACTTCTTTGCATCGAAAAGCCAAAAATTCTTTCGTGAGAGAATCCATAAATTACCAAGCCGGTGGGAGAAGGTGTTGGACAATAACGGAGAATATTTTGATGATTAACATATTGTTCGTTTGTCTGTAAAGTAAAATTCAAAAGATTTTAAAAAAGTTGCATTATTTTTGCATACACCCAATATTTAAATAGTGGAAGGTATATTATCAAAATTCGGTCGTCGACCTTGAGATACAATATGGATATCATAAATCCAATTAATGTCTTCTTTATCTCCGGTGTTATAAATGAAAAAATCGTGAGTATGATTTGCACTTTAGAACATAATACTTTAGTGTACTGATTACAATTTTTGCCTGTTTCCTTCTTTATATGTTTACTCCAGAATCAATAAATATTCTTAAAGTTAACCATGTAATTCTATATTAATATTTTATGTATAACAATTATTATTTATAAATATATATTAATAATTGACAATTACATTATACGAGTAGTAAGAATATATATATTTTCAGACTGTTTTCAATTTGTAATATATATAAATTATATATAAATTCTATAGGATAGATGTTTGCTGTGATAATATGTCCTCTATTCGACGCCTATTTTAATATATGTGCCTATATTTTATATAACCAGCATTGGAAAATGTCACTACATTATAAAAGAAATATTTAAATATATCTTAATATCTGAAAATGTTCCCGCTGCTGTGACACAGGCCTGTCAGGTGGATAAATCAAATAGAAAGGACGGGCCATAAACCCACGAGGGGCCAGTGTGGATTAATGTGCTTTCTTAAGCACGTAGATGCCAAAGATAATACATTATTGGTTGATGGCGTTGTTGATAAACCGCGGCCCGCGAACTTTGTTGCTAAGCAAGTTTCGCAAAGGTTCCCAGTCATGGGATGGGGGACCAAAAATTAATATCTCGAGCTGCTCCGTGTTTCGGAAGACATGTTAAACCTTTGGTGCCGACTGCAATTGTAGTCGTTAATACCTTCCAATACGCATTGGATGGAGCTAGCGTGGAGGGTCATTTCCCATCATCCTTAACCATCCATAAGGAAGGCCTAAGCCCCTGCAGTGGAGACGTAAAAGGGCTGATGATGATAATGACCTTTTAAATGATCCTATCCAAAATAACTCAACATTGCGAACTTAAAGTGCTAATATGCTCTATCGAGCTCCTCAATTACCACGATTTAGTTCTCTGTTCTTTATATTTTATTATGTTTTTATTTGTATTTAATTACATTGAAAAGATCTTCTGCGCTTTCAGAAGATTTTCAGTTGATTTAACATTTGAATATGCTAGACGACTTTTAAGAAATTAAAACACGTTATTTATAAAAATTAAAAAGCAATTTTATATCTCGTATGGTAACTACATTATGAGAAAACTATTTACAAAAGATTTTTCAAGAAATTATTGCACATTTCGATTACGTAAATCCTTTCATCTGGTCCACTTTGTCTTCGTGACATCTCATTGTTATACTATCGTAAAAATAAACTTTTCTTTAGTAAAAAAATATTATGTATTTACAAATAAAGTCAACTATGCCGGTTCTTATAATTGATAGAGTTATTTGTTAAAACATTTTACTTAGCCATTTATCCTGTTTATGAGTCACCAAAACTAAATAGCTCGGGAGTATCTAGTAGAAATTCATATCTGAAGTAGTCATTATACATAATCATTTTAATAGAAGAGCGCGTTTTTTAATTCAGCGCGTATCGGGGTAAATAACACTTAAGTTAAATGTTATTTTTGAGCTGGCTAGACCAAATATCGCGACGGTTTTAGAGGGCAAGTCATGGACGTGAAAGATAGTAAAAAACATTTTTATGTATGAGCGTACAATATTTACTTTCATGTGTTGTCTACGGTAAGAATTAAAGAACTCCATAACAACACAGCAATAGTGTTGAAGATATCAAAGAAAACTGCAAATTTTTGCGTTGTACTATCTATAATACAATGGTAAAATGCAGTGAAGACAATGCACTAACAATATTGGACTTTAGGTAGACCTAATGTCCAATATTATTAGTGTAATGTCATCCTCACACATCAATGCGATAGATATATTACAATATTGGACTTCAGGTAGATAGAACAATGGTATAATACTTGTAGATGAGGTTCTGTTGAGCTGCTAATATTACTTATACATTAGCAGGATTGTCTTGCTGGACTCGATCACCTTAATTAAAGTCATCGCCAATGTAATAGCTCTAATAATGTTTTATTTACTCAATTTCACTTTTACATTTAACTACATGTAGTGAAAAATTCTGATACGCACTGATAACAAAAGATTTCAAATTACTTTGTTAATGAATAAAAAAAAAGTACGTATTTCCGCTTAAGATAATGTTTGTTGATATCCTAATCCATACACGATTTAAATCATCTTACATTATTTTTTACAATAATACGATTATTTATGTAATTTAAGAAGTTAAACCCCGTCGTTTATTTTACAATTTATTTATTAATCTAATTTAACAAATGGTAAGCTACACCAAAATGCTTTCTTCTATTATTAACGTCTCAATTTCGCACGTTTTTAGCCGCTTTTTAAAAATTAATAGTCAATATCAATTTTATTTATAACCTAGATAATCTAATAATTTCCTCAGTTTAAACTAACATTGGCAAGAAAACTAAAATTGTTTTTTATTTTATAATACCGCTTTCCTATTTTTATATTATTATTTTATTTAGGATATAGTTTTTTTAAATACAAGTCTTGTTTATTCAGTAACTTTAATGTATGTATACAATACGTTAGTGTATATTAGCAAAGTTTCTTTTAAAAGTAAAAAAAATAAAACCTTTATTAACCTGAGCTTCCCAGTGCCATGCCTTCATTATCATTTAAAGTAGGAAAGCCTGTGTAAAGTACAATCGCATATGAATTGCATTTAACAATTTCGCCGAGATAAAGAAAAACATAGCTTGCGGTCTGTGCAGCATTCAGTCTGGCGATTCAATACGGATTTTTTTTTATTTTTTGACTTAGAATGATGCAATTTTTCTTTTTGGACTTAATAATTTTGTGCATAGATTGAATTGAAGAGGAATACGCATTTTTATTTATTTCAACTTAAGCTTTCTTAATTCATAAACATGCTAACAAAATAACTTCAATGAAGTTTCGGATACTATAATTAATACAGACGATATTTGAAAATATTTCATCTAAGTAGAAATAATTTTTCCTTTTGGATCTTCTTCATTTTTGGGGCAAAATCGTATGAATCTCGATTTATGATACGATCAAATTAATTAAAGAAAGTACCTACTTGAAAAGTACCTATTTAATCCGTATAATTAAAAAAAATGTTTGACGCTTTATAAGCGAACTTTCTTAAGAAATAATAAATTAACTATGTAATAGAAACAAGATATATTTTACAGCACATTATGCTTTTAGTGTTACTTCAATTCACCCATTATTCGATAATTGTGAATTTAAAGAGCGCATCGAATATACCGCATTCGGATTAAATTTGAACACGTTCGAATTCAAAACCATTTCTCGCATCACTTTTAGAATATATCAACGTCCTTTAAGTGCTGGTAGTTACGATCCCAGTAACCGCCGTTGTAAAGCCAGTCTTCTTGCTTCGTGTAAGGATTTGTGCCTTGACTAAACCACCTGTGAAAATACAAAACATATCAAAACAGTCTAACATTATATCAATAATCCGAAGCTTCGAAAATTTGGCAGTACATAAATTCAACATTTTATTTTAAAGGAAACTGACGAATTAGAAATTAGTGTAACATGTAAATATAGCCATCTTATCCTTATACTGAAATACAGCGAAAGCAGGGCTCGGAAACGGTGTGTCGTACCACCGTTTATTTTGTCCTAGGTGTCGGCATGCAAACTTTTTGTCTTTGATCTTCAACATTATTTATTTTTATTATTATTTACTTTTCGTAATTTGAAATTTTGAGTAATCTCTTTATGAATGTCGTTACTTAATTTCATGTGTTACTTTCGTTGTCTCAGATACTCCATAATACGAGGGCTTTGACTACTCATCTTGGAATCTGAACAATGTATGTGATATTGTGTAATATTTATTTATAAAAAAAATATATGTTTCATCATTAAGGTCACGAGTTTGAACTCAAGAAAAATGAAATAAAGTAAAATTACTCATCAAACCTGAAGAAAAGGGGTACCTAATTGATCTATTTAACTATTTTGGTAATCATACGCATTGTTCTTATATTCCTTTTTTGTTTGTTACAGTTTTTTTTCTTACTATTAATTAATCAAGTTCTTAAGCTTAGTCAACGTTTTATAATTTTCCCAAGCATCGAACCCGTCACAACTTTACGGCTTGCGAGCTTCATGCGACACCTTCAATGTTTCAACACAAAATTGCGACTTTGTTGTTCCACGCTCGTCTATTAAGAAGATTCAATAATCTACTTTAAGGTTGTAGTACCTACTTCCAGATATTAGTTTATATCTCGTAAAATGTATATTTAGATAATAATCTACTATTTAAAAAATTTAATTAAAATAAAGATTTTTAAAAACAAACTTTTATCTGTGCGTAATAAAACGTAAATTATAATTTTATTCAACACATAAAAAATATGTGTATAATATGTGCCGACTACGGCGAAGCGAAAAGGAGGGTTATGATTTTGGTCGGTAAATGTTCACCTGTTAAGTAATAATTTTAAAACTACTCATCGTAACTACGCAAATGGTATCATTATAAGCGTCTTATTTGTCCGCGTGCTATAGGCTTCGTGACGTTACATTAAATTAGCAACAGTGCCCTCTAGATAGCTTAAAGTAAGAAACTAAAAAAAATATTATTCGATCATTCAGTGCAAAATATCAAATGAAAGGGCTTAAGGGCTTGCTCAAATACACCCGAAAATTAATTAAATAAAAAAATAAGTTCAAATACTAAAACCCGACTACAGTTAAATCACGCTCTGAAAAGTTTGAAACATGAAATTTATATTATAGCGATAGCTATATCATAATAGCATAACAATACGCTGTCTTTGGTATCGCTATTATAATGTAACTATCGCTATAAAATAAATTTCTCGTTTCAAACTTTTTAGAGCGTGATTAAGCTGAAGTCGGAGTTTAGTTTTTGAACTTATTTTTGGTATATTATTATTATTAAGTATCATGTAACAAAAAATAAAACCGGCAAAGGGTTAAGCCCCGTTAACGAGCAAAAAATCACGTTTATTGTATGAGAGCCCCCTTAGAAATGTATTTATTCAGGTTTTTAAGTATTCATTATTATATAGGCAACAGAAATAAATAATCTGTGAAAATTTCAACTGTCTATCACGTGACAGACGGACGGACAGCGAAGTCTTACTAACGGGGTAACGTTTTACCCTTTGGGTACGACATATTTGGTAATGAGCGAGGTACCTCGGCTGCCAGGGGTCGGCGTTCTTCTTGAGCATCTTCCTGGCGGTGCGCTGCTTCTCCTCGAGGCGCGTCTTGGCGGCGGCGGCGGCGTCGATGTCGCCCTGCTCCAGCAGGCGCACGTCCGGCCGCAGGCGGCTGTCCGTCGGGCACAGCTGGCCCTTCATGTCGCGCTCCAACTCGTTCAGGGACATCGCGAACTCAGTGAACTGGTAGTACTGCAATAATCGACCTGTACCGTTGCTGTTGGCGTTTCCAGTGAGGCAAATAAAATGCGTGTTCAATGGTATAATGGTAGAAAGGTATTGAAAAATCTGAGGGTGGAAGAAGATTCATCCTCGGATACAGAGGCGTAGACTTGCTGCTCCAGTCTCGTCGTGACCACGGGGGGTGCAACCGGCAATACAATAGGTTAACTCGAGTGTTTTAATACCCAAATTATATGCAGTTTATACACTACTTTATCTTCACTCATAGGAAAAATTGAAATTAAACAAATTAGGTAGGTTACACCCCGATGGAATTCCGAATACAAAAATACGATCGGCATAAAAATGAATGGGAAGCGCGGGAAATTAAGTTCAAAATGCGCATGCGTGCGCCATATTTTTCATATTCAGCCTATAACCATAGACTAGTTTAATGAATAAAAAAATTTAGCGGTACTATTATGAGTTTCATGATACAGTTGCCGGTACTATAATAAGTTTTATTTTTAATTTTATGTAAGTTTAATTTTATGCGTTTATAAAGTGCGTATGTATGTATGAATTCGTCAAAAACGTCCATTAAAATACTCATTACTTTAAAGCGATATTAGCATTACCCATACGACTGTGACATTCATTAGAGCTTAATGGCGCCAATAAATCTTAATTGACTTTTGTGTAAGAGACCGTTAATCGGATTGATGCACTTTATACGTATAATGTGTACATTTCTATAACTATTTGTAAGTAGATATAGGTGTGCTTTTATGTAGGTACTCAGTACACGTCAGAAACCTTATAAGCTTATTATGTTATAATAATAATAATAAGTACTCCCCGGGGGCAAGGGGAAATCGGTAATCGCAAATTGAAGGAAAGGAAAAGCAGACTAAACTTCAGATATTTATTTGAGATTTGAAAAAATCTAGATACTTTGCTTGTCGGATTGACTCAGTTAACGAATGCCAGAATTCAGTGGCTATAGAATGTTACCATTATATGTATACGAGTTTTTTATGTTAAATGAAAAGCGACTCGTTTGTAACACAAAATTAATTCAATTTTTAGTAATGATTTGCTAATGACATAGTTTACTGTTAAAGCTGATGAGATCCTTTCGCTTGTTCTTCTTATTGGTGAAAAGATGTCCTGTAACATTTGTACAATAATGTTGGACGATTTTCAAAGATACTTTGATTTAGTTTTTCATTCAGTCGCCATTCTACACCAATGGTTCTAAAACTTTTTGTGAGCCGGCGACATTTTTATGACTTCAAAAACTACAAATAAACATTAATATAAGTCACCTTGTAAAATTTTTGTCAAAGACAAAAATAGTCAAATTAACTTATGGTTGCTTAGATACTAATTAGTGAAGCCTGCTTAACGAAAACTAATAATGAAATACTAAAAACGAAAGAAATTAAATAATATAGTAAATCAAGCCTTTAGTAACAAGAAAAAAGTAGAAGACATAAAATTATATTACAGATTGTTTAATATATTCTATCCTCAGATTAAAAGTTAAATTAGGTACCTGAGCGCTGTTTGTAGGTCTCGGTCGGGCTTCCCAAAGCGTCACGGAGTTTGGTATGTTAATATTGTATGACTCATCTGGCTTGGGGATTTCATCCGTATTGTCCGATTCGTCGTTCTGAAACCATAAAATGTTGATATTTTTATTAAATAAAGACGTTAAAATGGGAGTGAAAGGCAAAACGTCACCTTAGTAGCCATTGTTTACTGTTCAAATTGTCGTTGTAGTTATATCCATGTCATGATATGAATCGAATATCCAAATAAACAGTCAAATAGTTACTATAAAAAATACTGCGAGAACTCAATTCCGGCTTGAATACTTTTATGAGCGCTGTGGGAGAGATTGAAGCCTGTGGCCGCGTAATGTGAACGAAGGTTGTGTGAATAAAAGTAAATGAGATATGTTAAAGCTTACTCAAGGAATCTTAGTCTAAATAAAATAATCCACACGTAACACTGGAAACAAATTGCGTTCCATATCTCAAAAGGAATCAAATCTTTTGAAACTAGCTCTATCTCAATAAAAAGATACAGCTGTTAATGCTACATATTTTGACATATCAAGAATCAAATATAATCAAAAAATCAAGAGCCAACAGGGCATATGATTTGACTTTGGCTTTTTATAAAAGTAAGGAAGACAGTGTTCATCGCAGCTGGAAATGGTATAAGTTTTGCCATAATTAATTAACAAATTAAGACACCGTTAAAGACCGTGTACGGTATAGTTATACATTTGCCTACAATAACGTTTTATTATAAGACACGTCATACCCGTACATTATTGTGTTTTAAAAGGGTGTAAATTTTATTTTTATTTAAATTTTTTAACATTATAATACAACCACAAATGGCGCAAGGATATCAAAATTAGTTATCTTCCTACCATAATTTACAGTATAACTCTTGTTAGAACGAGATAAACATAATAGCATAGCTTTACGAGTCAACTGCTGTATCCTCATAGAACACAATGCACGAAATAATGGCCACGTTCAATGGCGTCTTATTAATTTTATTAAAATAAAAAAGAGTAAGTACAGTACTTACCCATGAATTATATCTTTTTTGCTTTTTTCATTGTCAATGTGTAATTTGTACTTTAAACACGTAGAAAGGCATTTTTCTCTACAACATTTCACAGAAAATTATGAGTTAAAAATGGCAAACTCAGGCAATTGCCTTGCTTTATTATTGTCAATGTTGTGCACAGATAACGAACGCATCTAAACTTCTTAACACATCATTGTATGTCTATAGCCTTAAATTCCCAAATGGACAAAATGAGGCCAGTATAAGTGAAGGCAAAAATTCCAAGCCTACAATTTGAATACACATTTTTTATACTTACATCTTGTATGGACATGGACCGTAAAGCGCCCACTTTGAAGCTGTTGAGTTTGGCGAGCACCTTCTTGGGTGTGTGCGAGGGTGTCTGTTGAGCGGCTGCCTCCTCGCCCCGCTCCTTAGCCCACTGCTCGTACGCAGCAGCGCTGCAGCACTTTATGTATTCCGTCCATTTGCCGTACAAGAATTTTAGACGCTTTTTACTGAAACATTTCAAAACATGAAACTTGGTAAATCTATAAATGAAACAACTTGTTAACGGTTTGTATTTAGTTTAAGACGTTTCGGACCGTTTACAGGTTCTGCGTTCACATAAGACTCATCTGAGAATTTAAGATTTAGTAAATCACATCTGAGAAAAAGTCAACTAAAATTCTTTAAAAGTATAGTCAGCTTGCAGGGACGTCTTGAGGCTTTATTTTTTTTTTACGATTATTAAAATTATTCGAAAATTATTATTATGATTTTTTTACTCCTCCCTACTCCCTAACCATCTATATGGATAGGCTAAATGCGAGAACTGGTGTGGAAGCAGAAAAACATAATAAAGCCGGTCCTGCTACTGAGTGGGGAAAAGATAAGGTAGGACGCTAGGTCAATAACTGTAAGGCCGGGCATTACAAAGAAAAACATCTATATGGAAGGACTGAGCCCCTGCAATGGGGACGTTAAAAGTGGCTGATGATGATGAGTGAATGCAGAATAGGTGAATGGATGATGAAGAATGGAAATAATTCAAATGGCGCTTAATAAAACATAATTATTGTATACAGAATATTGTGAAAACGATAACAGTGGGCAGCCTCCGGATACGCCTTCCTTATCTATGAAACTTTCACTAAATGGAAGCGGCACAGATCTGGCATGATGCCAACATATTTTCCAATGTAGCCTACCTTCATTAACTATTAAATGCAAATAGAACAATTTTAAATATGAAATAAGTTCTATTTATAAAAAATTCTGAATGTTTGTAACTCAAATATTATGGAATGAAATTACTTAGGGATTTAAATGAAAAGTATATATAAGAATATGTTACGCTCAAACAACGAAATCGCTCAATGAGCGATTACGTTTCTTTGCTCCATGAGTGATTTCGATGTTTGAGCGTAACATATACATGAATATTAGAATAAACTTCTATATTCACATCTGATTAGATGACTCAAATAATTGGAGACTCAAAAATTACACTAAATGTGCTCTCTTGAAATTACTTAAGTAGTTCTTATTAAGATTTATAGCGCACATTTATTAATTCTAATTGATAATTAAAATGTATACATCTCTAAATAGTAAAGACACGACCTGATACATAAATATTTTTTTTTTATTACATGGTCATGTAAATAATGTACTTATTAAAAATGAATGAATAAATTCTTTATTGTACACCATAAAAAAGAGTAGCTCGGTGGCGTAGTGGATAAGCGCCGCGGCCCGCGATCGTAGTCGTTAAGCAACTTTCGCAAGGGTCGGTCAGGGGTGGGTGACCAAAAAATTATTATCTCGAGCTACTCCGTGCTTCGGAAGGCACGTTAAGACGTTGGTCCCGGCTGCATTTGCAGTCGTTAATACCCTCCAATCCGCATTGGGCCAGCGTGGAGGGTCATGGCCCATCCTTCTTAACCATCCATAAGGAAGGCCTGAGCCCCTGCAGTGGGGACGTAAAAGGGCTGATGATGATAAAATAAAGGAATTACAATTGATACAGTTTAGTTGTACAATCGGCGGCCTTATCGCTAAAGAGCAATTTCTGCCTGGCAACCGTAGGACGGTGTTTAATTATATGTATGTCTCCAGACGGGTAGTAGATGGTGTCTTACATTGCGAGAGAAATATACCTACATATATACATACAAATAACATATAAATAAAATATAATATATATGTAATATAATATAATGAACATATATACAATACATTACTACAATATTAATATGATATATATAAATAGTTCTAATTTAAACTTACTTAGCATCAATAATGAACCCGTCGACTCTATGTAAATCACGGTTGTTGAATCCGGCCGGCTTGAAGGCCAGGTTGGCCTTAAGGCCGGCGCCGCCGTGGCAGACCACCTCCATCGGCCCATACTGCTCGATCCACAGCTTCCCAACGATAACATTGTGGACGCAGCAGTTCACGTTGCTCCAGGTGTAAGCTTCACCCCATCTAAAGCAAAATAAATGAGCAAAAATTAAAAATAGTAATTTTATTCAAACTACCATAGCCGAGTGGCTCATGAGCTGCTTTTGTTATCTCTTGGACTTCGTTTCCTGTTTGAATCAATGCAGAATTCTACATTACATAAATTAAAAAATAATTAGTTAAATAAGTATGTACTAATGCTACCGATTTTAATAAAGAATATTTAAAATCTGCGTTTGAAGGTCCTTAATACTCATCAGAAACACAAGAAATAAAATGGATAAACTATATAAATACACGATTGTATCTTTATCTTATTTGTATTGAGTCGAACGTGTATTGAGCTCGCTCCATGCCGCGCGACATTGCGCCAACCTTATTACATGTACGAGGCAATATAAGGTCACCGGAGATTACACAGAGATCAAGCGTAGATGAGAAGTCATGGCTGAACCAGAGACATTTAGTTTAGAGACAAACATGCCGTAACCTGGGGTGACAGTAGCAGGCTGCGAGAGACAACGCAGACCACAAGTGTTTAATTATATGTATGTCTTTTTTAAGTATTACTTTATTCGTAATCTGGACTAAGAAACTGTAAGGATTTATTTTACTGACAATTAAAAATTTTGCTTTTTCCATAATTTATGGAATGACAACTTAATATGGATATTAATGACGCCACAGGTTTTAACACTGCACACAGGTGTAGATATGGAAACCGAGACCGATAAACGAAGTATAAGATGACTACCACCACTTTCAAGATGCACAGATGACTGTGATGATGAATTGCTGAATGTATTTTTATCATCATCATTATTAGCCCTTCTATGTTCCTACTTTAGGGTCCCAAGGCCTTCGTTATGATTAGTTAAGAAGGATGGGCCTCCTTCACGCTAGCCCAATGCGAATTTGATTGCATTGTGCAATGCATTGTCATGTTGAAAGGAAGTAGGAGGGAATTATGGTTTTCAATGGACTTTTTTTTGCCTGAAGTAATGATAACGAGCATAGCCAGAAGATTCATTACCAGGTATGAGAACTCGATAGAATAATTGATAGTACAGAAATACATTGAGGGCAAGAGATCAAGAAGCCGATCACCTACACGATGGACAGATTTAGTGAAATCGGTGACACAAACTTCCGTAACTGAGAGCTCTCGCAGCGCAGCGAACTGACAAAAAAGGAAGAATATTGCCAGAGAAGCAATTCGGGTCTATCAAGAGTAAAGAGCCGGTATGCCATCTAAACAACAACGACCACTCACTCAAGTGTGCACGATTGAGAAGAAGAAGAAGAAGCTGCTAATTTCGATTTCCACAATCGATTTTATATCACACGATTACTTACCTTGGTAGTTCTACAGTGACATGCCCCTTCGGCTGTATTTCAACACTCTTGCCGCAAAACTTTAGTTTTGGGTGAACAGAGCCATGGAATACGAAGTGAGGGCTGTCAGCGTGAAACGCTGATACAGGGGGATGATGAGACACCTACAACAACAGAAAACGGAATAGATACAAGCTTATGGTAATTATTGTTTATAATTAATTCTTAGACATTACTAAAAATAATATATTAACATAATGTTAAAAATTAATCAAGTAAAGGTTTTAAGCTGAACATGTGCTATATTTAGTCAAATATAGATTGCAAGACAGCCGATAAAATAACATCTGAAACATAAATATTAATTTACATTTTTAACTCCAAGCATCCTTGAACACAATAAAAATATACTAATTTGTGATATATAAATTACTGTTCAACTCATATTGAGGTTTCACTTTTGTGATTTCCTCATCTTACTCTTAATTGTAGACAGTGCGTAAAGTTTTACTACTAACCTGCTCGCAAACTGCTCTAAACTCTGGCCGCTCTAGCTCGTACGTCTCGCCTAGTAACGGGTTGAATGGTTTACCCAGGCGCTCCCAATTTGAAGCCAGTGCGCTCACCGCGAATGCTATAGTAAGAATTGAATACATATTGAACATAATATATGTTTATACTTAGAGCATAATATGATTACTTTCTCAGTAAGTCTTTCCAATTAATACAATGTCCATACAATCTAAATCTGATTTATGTATGCTTTTTATGTTCCAAAAATGTATTCAAGAATAACTTGAATTTTAGAATTCTGAGGTAATTTAAAGAAACGCCTTTGTATCTCTAACTTGAACTTTTCCAACGATCTCAAAGCACGAGTATCGCTAGCAACATGAGCAAAATTAAAACATTCCTTAAGATAAACTGGCGAAAGTGAATTAAAAGGAAAACTTGACTGGAATCGCTCACACAGACGAGTTGCAATAAGTGCTTGCCGGAATTAACAAATTAGCAGCTACTTGAGTTTTATACAGAAATACGTGATCATTATCTCTTGAAAAAAGTACATCTTTAACAAAAGTTAGTGCCTTCATTTATTTAAAGTCAAATAAATGCCACGGATTATTGCCACGGCCCGTGGTCGTTGTAGGTAAGCAACTTTTGCAAGGGTCGGTCACAGGTGACCAAAAATTATTATCTCGAGTAACTCCGTGTTTCGGAAGGCATATTAAACTGTTGCCGCGCATTGGGCTAACGTGGAGGGTTGTCTCCTATTCTCCTTAACCAAGGAGGGTCTGAGCCCTTCGGTGCTAAAAGTCGCAAAGAGAGAAAGCTCCTTTACCTATTACGGCCCAATCAGATTGGTGGGTGAGTTTGTGTATTTCCAACGAGTTACACTTAATACCCTGTTACTCTGTGGGAAACGGAATGGAGGGAAAATTTCGAATGGTTTCCCAACCAGTATCGGTGTTACAGATTGGGTAGACATGTAAGTACTAACCTGCGATATACTCCATCCTAGCCACTGGGTCGGTCTGCTCCGACGCCATGCGGAGCAGGTGCGCATACTCCAGATATTCGAGCATCCGTTGAAGGAAGGACAGTGGCTCATTGAACACGACCGGCATCGTGATTTTAGATAGCTCCTTACCCACGCAGTTCTTCAGCACCGACCACAGGGAGAAATCACCGCGACTGAATTGAGCCACTGGTAAAGAGGTCCTGAGGACAAAGATACCGATATCGCTGAGTTAATATGATAATGATTGGTAAAAAATATAAATAATAAAAAAGCATCAGATATAGGATCATGTTGGGATCGAAATACAATTTTGTTGTTGTTGCTTCTGTTAAGAGCTATACGATTCCGTTAAAAAACAACTTCGAACTCGTCATCAAGCGCTGACAAATAGAGCTTCAATTAAATAAAACCTTTATTACCTTTTAAGTTAGGTTTATTTCATTGAACCTCTATGTTGTGAGAGCGTGACGCTTGACGAAAAGACGTCAAAAGACGATTTTAAAGGTCGTCACATAAAAAATATGTAATCTTCTTGGTCATCAATGGTTGGAGGTTAAAAATGTTGGACAATTTATAACCTAACAACAATGAAGAATATATTATAATTTTTCCATAAGATGGGAGATCAAAAATTTATCACCGCTCCTCCGTGATACTGGCTTCGTCCGTCGGAAACACATAGGAATCTACACTGGGACCAAGTGGTTGGTTATAACGTAATAACCTTCAGAATAAGCTCAGTTATAACCATTCCCCTGATAATCAACTTTTTATTTAATACCTTAAAGAGAGTAAAATGTTTTTAACGATTTTGAATTACTATTGCAATCACTATCGTTATTTATTAAAAACCTTTTTATTTACCCTTTACTTCACCTCTAATCAAAAGTTACAAATATCTTTTCATGTTCCAAACAGTGAAAAATTTATGTTTATGTCAATATAGGTAATAATGTCGCCCTAACCCTCGACAGAGACAAGTCTGAAGGGGTGTTATCGACCCGCGGATTAAGGTCAAGGCCAAAAGTACCCCCCCGGTGAGTCCCTAATCCTGTTACAGCTTTGTTATTAAACCAATCCTGATCTAATTTTCACCACTGAAAATTTCGCGTTTGCTAAATCGGAAAATAAAATTATAGTTTTTTAATATTCGAATCATTACATTACAAGTGAAGTTATACTTTAGAACTGTGAATAATTACTTTTTAATTAGTATGATATCTTTATTTAGTTGTTTTCATTTCATTTTTCATCTCTAGACAGTACTCTAGACCAGGATAAAAAGAGTTATGAGTATGGAGAAAGCGAATGCCTATAAAATTTAATAAAATATTTATTAAATATTTTCGTGTGGAACGTGATTTAAGACGTGCTTTAACCAAAACTAAAAACAATAAGATATCTTTCAGGAGCAGCCGTCTTTAGGAAAAATAGCTGGAGTAAAGTTTTCCTAAAAGGCCATAAGAGTAAGAACTATGAATTGTTAGTACCATTGTTCTAGTAGATATGAGCATATACCGATATCCCGTACTCTATCGATCTTACGTTTGTCCTTGACCCCATCCAGCAGAACCAACATTCAATTAATAAATCACCACTTCAGAAGAATTGGTAGCACTCCATCCTAATGGTGCCTTTGTATCGAAAGTCTCCGATGTAATTAGATGTCGATCCAGGCCTTTGATTCTGTTGATTATTATAATTAACTGACTGACACTTTAAGAGGAACTTTTCGTTATTCAATTAGATTTTAGCGAAATAACTTTATAAGTTTCATTTAATCAGAGCAGTCGTCTAATTTCTTTTTAAAATCAGAAACTCAGTTACGTTAATAAAAACAACAAACATTGGAATGGGCTTATTTATACAATAACAATTTAAGTTGAATTGCCCATTTTTATTATTATCCATAACTTTATTATTATGACTAAAACGACCGACATGACGAACGACGAAGGAACGACGGATATAAGGGACGGAATATTGGACGATACAAATAAACTTTAAATAAATTTATTTGATGAAGATATTTATACTGTGATATAGATATATAAAACAATAAGATTTTTGACATATTCGGAGTAAAAAACAAGTTGTAAACTTCATAATTAAGCCACATAATCATTACATTGATCTCTGACTTTTGAGAAACATTATGCTACTTGAAAATTGTCATTTTGAAAAGAGGTATTATAAAAATTAGATCGACAAACGTACAGTTGGTAACTGTGAGGTTGGGAAATTAAACAAAATTATAAGGTTAGTCGCCTAATGATTATTGAGCGAAACAAAAAAGTTGGTTGGCAAGTAACAAGCGACCAAACAATTTTCGGCGAAAAGGTAGGATACCTCATTTATATTGATAAGGTATGAAATTAATGATTGTTTGCAATAGTTCCTGTTTCGTGCCCTAGCACGGATGGAATATTTTTTACTATCTACATATAATAAATGTAATACAATCGAAGTGAATAAATGTAATACAATCGAGGTTACAATCACGAAACATGTATGGAGAAGACGAATCGGTTGAATTACAATGCGCAAATTAGTTGACATTTTTTGTTACGACGGGAACAAGTTCAGTTCACGTCAGAAAATAAAATATTATTTGGACCAGTTTTTGCCAAAAGAAAAGAATGATTGGCTCCATCTATTTAAAAAATAATAAAACCGCAATTAGTTTTGCTACCAGAATAGTTAGTATATAGGTATTTTGTTAAAATATTTTTTCATTTGCACCAAAAAACTAAGACTTTAGAAGTACAAATATGTTGGATAGCAAAGAAATGTTACCAATGTCTGACATCCTATTAATATTATAAATGTAACTTTCTTTGTTTGGATGTTTGTCCGTTAATCACGCCGAAACTACTAAACGGATTTTGATGAAATGTGGTATACAGATAAGGTATTAGCTGACTTAGGTAATATGATAATTTTGATACCACTAAATATTTCCCTAGTGACCACGCGGGCAAAGCCGCTGGCAAAAGCTAGTTATACATGTGTATAACTGCTGTGGGCGAACTTTTTGTTCTTAACATTTTTATTATTATTTGAAATCTTTACATTACTTGTATTATCTTAGACGCATGTTGCGACATCGTTGCCGAAGCATATCTACTTAAAAGGAAAAACGATGGATCTCGCAAAGTCAACGACTATTTCAATCCAAAGCACTTAAGATGTCAAACTAACATCAACTCTCCGAAAAGGGGAGAGAAGTGACTTTCGGATGTTGTATTGGTTATCACGTAATTTTCGAGGGTGATTTACGTGTTAGCTTTCATTTTCAAGATGAAAATGTTATCATTATGGCTTAATAATATAAGTCAGTGTTTTCATACAGCCACGCCTGCGGTTAACCTATTCCAATTGAAATATACAAGTAAGTAATTTCTCAGCGTATAAAAGCAAAAAACAATTAATGTTTACAAAAGCGTTCCTTTAATTTTGATTACTTTATTATCAATTTTTTACATAGATTAGTTTTATTAGTATAGAATGATAATGATAAACATATATAATGCTCAATATTAATTTAATAATTTTCCTTTTGTATCAGTTATAATTGTATACACCTTTTTGGAGAGAATAATTCCCTCCCTCAACTACTGATGTTATTTAGTAGTACCTACATAGTGAAATTTTTTGCTTTGACAATTCTTTAAGAAACTGTATTAAATCGAAAAGAATATATTAGTACCTAAGTAACAATTTTCAAGGCAAACCTATCTACGTCAGCGTTATTCAAATATTTGTGGGGATTCATCGATCACGAGCAGATCCTTGATAAATGTGTGTATGTTGGCAGCATAGTATATATTATCAGATAAAGTTTTAATTGAAATCAACCAAATTCCAATGAAGTGATTAATACAGCGTTGGTGAAACATTTGTTTACTTTTCGATTTCGTTGGTTTAGAGGAGATTTTACAGATATTGCATATGTGTAAATTTTTTACTTTTCAAATTTAAAATTTTCTACACGCTCCGATATTTAGGATCCAAGGCAGAGTAAATGAAAGATAATAACATTTAATAAGTTAGCAACGGTATAATATCCATGTCAGCACTTTCTCGAATGTGCTCTATACGGTGTTGTTTTAATGGACACGGTGTTTTAAGTAGATATTATATTTCCTACAAATTACTTCTTGCCTCCTAAAAAATATATTTTAAAACCAAGGGAACAAAAGAAGGCCTTCTGTTTCTCCGAAAACGAAAATTTGTCTGTTTTTATAATGCTAATACAACTACAGAGTAACCCATTTTTCTATAGTTTGCGATAATTTTCGAAAATGTGATTTAAAAAAAATATATAAGAACATTTGCCGGTTTTTTTCTAGAGACAAACGGAATAGGCTCTATGGGTTCTACAGAAAGTACTTACAGACCGCACAACTTCTACAAAAAAAAAAAACATTATCGTGTAGATTGAGGATCGACAACAAATCTACAAGAAATTATGTTGATTTATTCTTAATGAGTTTTGCATCTATTTTGTTATAAGTCTTAATATTTTTCTATAATATCAGCTTATCATATCGGTCAAACACATATATTAAAATACAAGTATAGGTGGCTTACCTACCTTTAGCAATCTATCAATGTTTTAAAGTACATTGAGCTCAATGTAATATTACTTTCAATTCGTACCACGACTTCCCTAAAAGTAATATTGTTTGAATGAACGATTATGCAAGTAATGAATGATATTGAGTATTGTCTATTCTCCGTAGACAATTCCGTGACTTTTTGAAAAGCTCTGAAACATATTTTTATTGGTGCATAAATAGCTAGTAATATTACGCAGTTTGTGCAGTGTTATCAGCTAGTGAAATAATCGGTGAATAACCTAACAGACAGTGACTACTATTTATACACCCTAAGTAATCCTGTTATCAATGCACTTAAAACAGTGCATAGGCAGGGGCTCTAATCGCTGGACTTTGACGACCGACCAGCCGATCATCCATAGGGCAACGAATGTATACCACCCTGCCTCCTCTCGGTTCCACAGAAAACGGGCCCACAACAATCTGATCCTGGGGCATCCTCCCCTTGCAGAGACTGCAGCCCTGAGCTCCTCAGAATCCACCGCATCGTCCAGATCGGTTATACGCATGTCGACGCGCCTAACCGGCCTGGATATCTCGATTCCATAACCGAGAACCCTCTTCGATTCGGACGTAAG